CGGTCATCCTCGCTACACACAATAGACCTGAGTTCATTGTGATTTACACATTTATTCTTATTTTGTATCTCAGTGAGCTTATCATATTCGGTCATGTCATTTCGCTTCTTTATTGACCTATGAAATAAAGTTAGAAATCTATAAGATAAAAATGCTATTATATTCGTTCTTTCGGGGGAGGGGAGGGGTAGAGCTATTCCCTCTTTAATATTTTGTTTGGGGGAKGAGGACTGGTACCATCGTGTTTGATTGTTTTCAAGTGTATACTTCATTCTTTGGCCCCATAAGTGACATGAGGAAGTCATAGAAATCGTACTAGCCTTAGCAGAGTCTACATGTCCTTTTACAATATGCTCTGACTTTCTGGTTGTATCGGCACTGGTATATATATTGCGGGCAACGACGATCAGAGTCTCTACATCCTATAGACATCATATATCATTTATAGGATCGTTATTAGTATTTTGTAATATCTGATTTATAATAATGAGTAATAAACTACAAAAATACCAAGTAATGTTTACAACATGAGCTGCCGTGTTGTATGGGATTTTACAATCTCGAGCCGAAGGCGAGAGATTGTAAAGCCGATACAACACGGACGCAAATGTTGTAAATTACTTGTGAAACGTTTAGGTGTATACATTCATAATCTACTAAAAACTTAAAGATAAAATTGAATTTGGCTGAGAAAACTAGATTTGAAGTTTATGCAAATCAAGACAGTTTTGTATCAAATATTACAACACTCTTCACGGTTGTGATTTCTTTTTGTTTTTCTCATTAATTATTCATGAGTTTTACAAATCTATTTACAGCACAGTCGATTGAACGAGACGAAGAAAAGACCTTGTTTGTTCACCTGTTAACTTTTTACACACATCTCTCTTATGTCCATTTACTCGCCATTTTATATTATTCATGTTATTTCATCATTGTCTTTCCGTATATACTACTTATTAACCGAGAGTGAGGTCATTACAGGGAAATTTCAGACCGAGGTCTTGGAAGTATGGACCGAGCGATAGCGAGGTCCATACAAACAAGACCGAGGTCTGAGATTTCCCTGTAATGACCGAACGGACGAGGTTAATAAGTTATTTATTATATGGCTCTCTTAATAAAAAAAATATAAAATATATAACGTGACCAAAATAAAAGAACGGAAGTGATTTAACACTTCCTCTTGCGCGCGCATTTGTTCATTCAATGTCATGTCCAGTGCCGAAAAAATACAACAATTTGTTTGAAAATGTGTTTAATATAGCACAATTTATGTCACAAAACCGTTTTTATTCCACAAAACACGGTAATTTAGCTTAAAAAGTTTCAGAACATCCAAAAGTTTGTAAAAATAGTAGGAAAATACGTCAAAATTAAGACGATTGAAAACGTCAACACGTGCAGACCTTGCAGTGATTTTAGCGAATGTTCAACTTTCCTCGTCACTCTCGATTTTTCCGTTGTTGGATCTTGATTGTACCTTTGAAAATTTTGAACGGACAGTCGGATATTTTGCTGATGTTAGCTCCACCGAAAATGCTACTTAAAGCACTTGGATTTGATGTATGAACGGCGAGGGAAGTGGTTGACTCAACTGGTTACTCATGGGGACGGCAAGCATGGTCTAATGACAGCTTAGAAATTCTCGATAAGTATTCACCATAATTTAAAGATAGCTCAAAAAGGATTGTATTGGAAGAAAAAAACGATGTGTCAGGATGTAAAAGCTCAAAAGAAGCCAGAACATACCTCTACAGACTACTCAAAACAAAAGTGAAAAGCCGAAGGGATTCAAACCGGTGTTTTGACAAGAAAAGCTGAGAATGAAATCCTCCTCTTAAAAATTCAATGAGCTCGTTGACTAGAAAAAAAGAGCAAAAACCTGGAAGTCCAGTTGAAGGAATTTTGAGTCAGTGTGAACTCGTTCAAATGCCAAGCTTTCTCAATGAAAACAGCTGAAAACAGGCAAACTTTCAAGCAATTCGTGGGACATAACCGTCGTCTATCAAGTTTACTTTTGCAATTGCTCAATGCAATAACTCCTCGGTTGCTGGAGAAAGAGAAGAAAATTGTAATTCAATATTGAGGGACATCCACATCGAAGAATTAATAAACAAACCTACACCGGCCTTGTCGATAGAAGAATCATTGAAAAGTTTGTGAGTAGACTGTAATAATGTATTTGTGCATGAAAATTAA